TGTGGTTTTTGGTTTGACCTCTGTTGATGTATTTAATAACATTTATGGTTTTATGAATGTTGAACCAGCCTTGCATCCCAGCAATGAAGCCTACTTGGTCTGATGGATGATTTTTGAGATGTATTGCTGAATCCGGTTTGCTAGGATCTTGTTGAGAATTTTAGCATCTATGTTCATCAAAGATATTGGCCTGTAGTTCTCTTTCTTTGCTGGATCTTTACCTGGCTTGGGTATCAATGTGATGTTGGCTTCATAAAATGATTTGGTGAGTGTTCCATCTTTTTCAATCACCTGGAATACCTTCAGTAGGATTGGTATCAGCTTCTCCTTAAATGTCTTGTAGAATTCTGCTGGAAAGTCATCTGGTCCAGGGCTTTTTTTTGTAGGAAGTTTTCTTATTACGTAGTCGATTTCCTTGATTGTTATTGGTTTATTTAGGGTTTCAATTTCTTCTTGTTCCAACTTAGGTAGGTTGTGTGATGTCAGAAAGTCCTCCATTTCCTTAAGATTTTCAAGTTTGTTTCCATACAAGTGTACGTAGTAGTCTCTAATGATCTTTTTTATTTCTTCAGGGTCAGATGTGACTTCATCTTTTGTGTTTCTGATTGTGCTTATTTGGTTTTTTTCTTGTTTTTCTTGGTCAGTCTAGCTAGGGGACCATCGATCTTGTTTATTCTTTCGAAGAACCAGCTTTTTGTTTCATTGATTTTTTCTATTATCTTTTTGTCTTGTATGTCCTGGATTTGAGCTTTTATTTTGGTGATCTGGATTTTTCTGCTGAAATTAGGGTTTTTGTGGTCTTGCTTTTCCAGCTTCTTTAGGTGGCTTGTTATGTTGTTAATTTCTGTTCCTTCCATTTTCCTCATGTGTGTTTGAAGGGATATAAATTCCCCTCTTATTACAGCTTTTAAGGCATCCCAGAGATTTTGGTAAGATGTTTCTTCATTTTCATTTGTTTCCAGGTATCTTTTGATCTCTGTTTTGATGTCATCATTGACCCAGAAGTTGTTTAGCATCATGCTGTTTAGTGTCCATGTCTTTGTGGGTTTTGGGGGGACTTTGTTGGTGTCAATGTTTATTTTTATTCCACTGTGGTCTGAGAAGGTCCATGGTAGAATTCCAGTCCTTTTAAATTTGCTTATGCTTGATTTGTGTCCAATTATGTGGTTGGTCTTAGAATATGTTCCATGCGGGGATGAGTAGAATGTGTATTCTGTGGTCTTTGGATGGAGTGTTCTGTAGGTATCAATTAAGTCCATTTGGTCCAGAGTCTCATTGAGGTTCCAGATCTCCTTGCTGATTTTTTGTCCTGATGATCTGTCTAGGGTTGTGAGTGGTGTATTAAAGTCCCCAGTTATTATGGTGTTAGAGTCAATGTCTTTTTTTAGTTTTCCTAGAAGTTGCTTTATGAATGTTGGCGCACCTATGTTGGGTGCATACATGTTTAGGATAGATATTTCTTGTTGATGGAGTGAACCTTTTATCATTATGTAGTGGCCCTCTGTATCTTTTTAAATTTTGATAGCTTAAATGGTATTTTTGTCTGAAATTAGGATCGCAACTCCTCCTTTCTTTTGTGTTCCATTCGCCTGAAAATTTGTTTCCCATCCTCTTACTCTGAGTCTGTGTATGTCCTTTCTAGTGAGATGGGTTTCTTGAAGGCAGTATATTGTTGCCTGGAGATATTTTATCCATTTTGTCATTCTATGTCTTTTCAGTGGTGCATTTAGTCCATTCACATTCAGACTAATTATTGAAATGTGAGAGTTCATCCCTATCATGGAGTTCTTATTGAGTTGTTGTTCTTCCACTTGGTTTTTTCTTTTTTTTTTTCTTTTTGTCTTTCTTTTGGTTTTGGGGTTGGTTTGTGTATATTTTATTCTTTCCCCTGTACTCTTGTGAAGAACGTTGTTCTTTTTTCCTTTTCTTCTGTGTTTAGTACTTTCTTAAGTGTTTCATGTAGAGATGGTATTGTGGCTGCATAATTTTCTGTAGATTTTTCTCCCTTTACCCCTTTCCCTCCCCCTCTTCAATTCTGTTTTTCAGGGAAGGTGGGGTTGCTTTTATTTCTCTTCTGCAATGACCTGTTCTTCCTTCTGAGGGTCTTCTGGCTTTGTTCACTTTTCCCTCTGCTTTACAGTCTGTCTATTCAGCAGTATGCTGTCTTGGTCCGTTCAGAGAATCTCAGCAGTTCACCTATGCCATCACCATCTTGCTTTATGGGTCCATTTGGTGGCTTTTAATAGGTTCAGAGAAGTTAAATAACTTGCCTGATCCCGGAAGTGTTGGTGCCGGGATTTGAACCTGGTTTGTTTGAACCCCCAAATCCAATGTTTAGAACTCCTCACTTGGGGGTTAATTCTTTCAGCAATTGGTCTGGGTTGTTAATTCACATACCACAGCCAATAACTAGACAACATTAATTTGATTCAGGAAGCTTTCTTAAGACCTGTTGGGAAGCTTATTATCTGTTTCTGTAGTGGAAAGGTTTTGACCTGATGATTGTCAGTCATGGTCATGAGAGCCCACAATATAATGAATATAAAGCCGAACCTCTATGTTTCAAAGTTTAAAGATCCAGAGAATTTAAACATTAAGAATAATGGTTAATTATTCCACTGAGATTTTAAAGGTAACAGGTCATAATAATAACAAGCAATAATAATTACTCTGACTTCTAATGCTCAAGAATTTGGAAGAAGGCATGTTTTAGTAACCTTATTATGTTCATTGCTAGATCACACCATCTCTTCTTTTCCCTTTCCTTTCCTTTGAATATTGTTGGCTTATCCCTCGCCCTCCCATAAGCTCACTCTCATATGGCTTTAGTCTTTCACTGATTGTTTTTCTCCCTTTCTTGTCTTTCATTTGCCTATATTCTTTAACCCAGAGATTTTAAACTTGAAGTGCATAGAACCTAAGAATTTTTAAAATTCACCTCAGGAGAGCCATTGAAAGCCCAAAAATTTTTGTAAAAGTTCTTGAGTATGTGTACATGAGAGTTTTTCTAGTGAGATGGGCTATAACTTTAATTAATTTTCTATAGGAATGTGAGACATTTTAAGGAAAACCACCTCGGTTGGCAAATTTTAAATACAGTCACTAACAATTATTTGTTTTGCCTTTCTCTCAGCCAATGGACTATAAATCATTGCTTCTAAAATTTTAATGTGCATATATGCACCTGGAAATCTTGTAAAAATGAATATTCTGATTCAGTATGTTTGGGTACCCAATGTTCTGCATTTCTAACAAACTCCCACATGGCCCTGATGCATCTGGTTCCTGGGAGTACACTTTAAACAGGAAGCCTAAAAAATACAATAAACATAAATAAAACTATGACCTTTGTCCTCAAGGAGTTTACCGTTTATAAGAAAGAACATTTTTTTGGCTACATACTCCATTTAGCCCTTATAATAATGTATCTTTAACAATTAGCTATACCAAGTAACGCTTTGGTGAATAAGGTCTCAAACAAGTAAGTAAATATTCTAAAAAGTGAATATAAACTAAACACTAACTTGCATATATGACTGGGAGTCAAAGGAGACAGAAATCAACATAAATATTTATTTTAATAGAAATTTTCTGTCTGAGAACGTCCATGTAATAATCATTTATTTTGTTCTAAGCAACTCCAACATTTCAATGAATTAACACAGAAAGAGTTTATTGTTTATTCAGGTCAGATTTCATGGTCTAATAATATATTTGGGGGAGGAGATGAGTTCTGTTCCACACAGTCATTTAGGAATCCAGGTTCGTTGTGATTGTGTGATGTTACAATCTGTATACATTGGCCTCCAGGGTTTTTTGTAGAGGGGAATAACAGAAAGGAAGAGCTCCTGAAAGGAGTCTGAGAAATATGGTTCAGTAATGTACCCAGGACATAAAGGAGACTCATGTATGTTGGTGACATTAGTACTCCCTGATGTAGTATTTGTTCCCCTGATTAGTAGTTTCAGCAGGGAAAAAAAAATTCACCACCGAATTAAAGGATCATTAGCAAGTATACCAGACTGTAAATTTTGCCAGGAATCCCTTGTCTGTCTTTTCTGCTTGTAATATCTCTAATTATAGCACAGTAGTTATCACTTAGTAGGTGCTCACTTAATATTTTGGGACTGAATTACTGTTCAAAAATCTGTTAAAGAAACAGACCTAGCAGCCCTCATAGAGAGTGCATGCAAAAGTGAAATTATGGAGACTATAAAATACTGAAATTGTCCTATATGGGCCAGTTAATAAGGATTATAATTAAGTAAAAAATATAAAATTCCAGGCTGATTTAGGTAGATCTGAGTATTACTGCATAAGCCCACACTCACATCAGCTAACAAACAAACAAAAAAACCCAATCATTCCCAAAGAATTTCCTTGAATGTTAATCCAGAGTAGTGCCAAAATTTTACTTAATATTCAACTTTATTTTCTCTCTGCCCAGTTTCGAAGATCCCTCTTGCAGTTCCTATGTCTCCGACTTCTGAGGTGCCAGCAGCCTGCTAAAGACCTTCCAGCAGCTGAGAATGAAATGCAGATCAGACCCATTGTGATGTCGCAGAAAGATGGGGACAGGCCAAAGAAAAAAGTTACTTTTAACTCCTCTTCCATTATTTTTATCATCACCAGTGATGAATCACTATCCGTTGATGACAGTGACAAAACCAGTGGGTCCAAGGTTGATGTTATCCAAGTTCGTCCTTTATAGGAATAAATAATGGTAACGAAACATGGGACTCTTAAGTTGGATGCCATTTTTAGACTTTCATTCTAAGGCGTCTTCTGGAATCCCCATTCTATGTAATACCAACAGAACTTTTGTGGTCCAGAAGGAAAAATGAGTTGCCCAAATGCTCTCTGGCCTCAGGAAGAGATTGAACAAGAACACATTCTTTTAATTCAACGGGTGCTTTACATAATGAAAAAACACTTGTGGCACAAGATGGGCATCTGGCACCATCATCTTCCAACGTGTTGGAAAGTCTCATTTCAAATATATTTTTTAAATGACTATATTTTCCAAGGCACATGATAAATTTTTCTCAAAAATACTTCACTGTAAAAATAACTTGTCTCATATACATGTATAGAATAGCTAGAAAATATTAAGTTATCTGTAGTATCGGGCCCTCTTCATGTCATTTGTTTGACCAAATCAAATTTATTAAGATGATGATTCTAGAGCGAGTGAAAAAGAAAGTCAATCTCCTAACTTTATCGGAAACAAAATACTTGTATAGTGATAAAGAGGAGCTTTAGGCCTGGCGTGGTGGCGCATGCCTGTAATCCCAGCTTTGAAAGGTTAAGACAGGAGGATTGCCTGAGTCCAGGAGTTTGAGACCAGACTCGGCAACATAGGGAGACCTCATATCTATACAAAATTTTTAAAAAATTATCTGGATGTGGTGGCACATGTCTGTATTCCCAGCTACTAAGGAGGCTGAGGGGAAAGGATCACCTGAACCCAGGAAGTTGAAACTGCTATGAGCTATGATTGTGCCACTGCCCTCCAGCCTGGGCAACAGAGTGAGACCCTAACTAAAAATAAATACGTAAAAATAAAGAGGAACTTCAGACTAATGTGTTACTGAGCAAGCTTTAGAAGATATTTCTGAGAAGCATCATAGTAAAGAGAATATGATGATGGATTAAGGGAATCAAGGTGTATAGCTAATTATACAATGTAAAGGATATATATTGTGAAGATGGTCTCACTAGCAGATCATTTTCATCTGTTTCATTTTAAATATGAGTATGGCAAGATTATCCTCTCCTTTGATAATTTCCCACAATTTTGCCAAGAGTTCTGGATTTAGAAAAGGAGTTTTAAGTGAAAACACAAACAAACTTACATTTGAAGGACGGTGAAAATAAATACTAACATTTATTGCTCATCAATCAGTTCACTGCATAATTGATTGTCAGTGTTAATGAAGAGGCCATTTTTTCCGTGGGTCATTGCTTAGACCTGTAGGAGACCAGGATATGCTACTCCAAAATATGCCTTTTTGGCATAAAGATTGTTTGAGCTGAAGGCAGTGAGAAGATGCAGACACAAGCTTTCTGCTCTCCTCTTATATCTAAAATTAAGATATGAATTTACAAAGTTGTCCTCCTTCCCTCTAGCAGGAAGGACATGGTTGATCACCAGGGACAACTTTAGATTCTTACCAGTCTGGTGACTGCATCAGAGAAATTCATGTAACAACCTCCCAAATAGTTGCCTCCTACAATTTGCTGCCCCCACAAACTCAGTCCTTTTTAATTTTTATTTTGTGTGCGTTTCTTGTTTCTTCTCTAAAAATTTTCTGTTCTTTGTTGAAGATGTATATAAGCCAGGAAGCTCTAAACCAGCTCTTTGAGATTTACTCATTCCCTGGTATCTCCCATGTGTATATAAATTATACATGTTAATAAACTTCTGTTTGTTTTGCTTTTATTCATCTGTCTTGTGTTATAGGGACCCCAGCCAATGAATTTAAGATGGGTAGAAGGAAAAATTGTTTATTCCTCCCCTGCAAACTAAACAAAATAAACATGGGTTATTAGAACTCAAGGATTCCTTTGACAATAAAGAAACATTGAGTCATTTTATTTTATTGCCTAATTTTTACTTCTTAGATGACTCTCTTTCTAGTGTTACATCTTCATAATTAATCATACTTGAAGGACTTCTAAATGACTCTGTCAGTCTATTAAGAAAGAAAGAATCAAAGAAAATGTTTTCACTAAATGTACCTTTATTCTATTTTTTTTATTGTTTATTTTTGAGTTGGAGTCTCACTCTGTCGCCCAGACTGGAGTGCAGTGGCATGCTTCTGGCCACCATAGCATCCACCTACTGGGCTCTGGTGATCCTTCAGCCTCAGCCTTCCAAGTAGCCAGAACTACATGCACGCACTACCACACCTGGCTAATTTTTTATTTACTGTAGAGATGAGGTCTCGCCAAGTTGCCTGGGCGGGACTCGAACCTGTGGGCTCAGGCAATCCATTCGCCTCGGCCTCCCAAAGTGCTGGGATTACAGGCTGAGCCACCGAACCTGGTCCACTAAATGTACTTTTAAAAATCAATTTATTGATGATTCTGCCACAGTATGCTGTTCAAATATAAGTTACTAAATTGCTTCTAAGAATCTAAAGGGACCCCCAGAAATGGAATAAAATATGGCTTTGTATTTCTTTTTTCCTTTCCACTCTTCTGTATATGTAGATATTGAATTTATGGATAAGAGCCCTTCCTATGCTTCACATAGTGTAGCATTATTAGCCTTTTTCTTATCTCTAGAAGGCAATACTGGCATTTGAAGACTGGAAAATAAAATAAATTTATTTTGTAATGCTCTAGAACTACCCTGAATTCCTCATTTACATTTCTGGTCTTATCTAGTGAATCTGAGCCCTGTGATTAGATATATTCCATTCAGGTAATAAAAAGTGTAGTTAATATACTAAACAAGTTGTGTTTTTAGGCCCGGATATTGAGCCAATCCTGTTGTGACTCCTATTATGCCTTTTAAAGAAAAAGCATGATTAGTGTTTTCCCTAAGGCCCCTGGGGCTTTACTCTTGGAGAAGTGAATGAGATCTTAGTCACTGCATTTTTCTATTTAGAATGACTCAACCTGTGTGCCTATACTCTAAGTGTTAAATGACCAAACACACAGCTGCATATTGCAACTTTTAAGAAGTTTTAATTAGAATTAACATTTGGAAAAATTCTACATTTAATTTAATTATAAGCTGACAACTATACTCCATGAGTGAATTAAATATGGTAATGGAATCATGTTTCAGATCCTTAATTCTAGTCTTACAGAAATCAAGCATTTGCTACCTCAGAACCTTTTGATCTTCTGCTAATGAGATTGGGAATTTGTTCTAGTGACTCCATGGAGTTTGTAGGGGAACATAGCCTGTGTTCCAGCGGTACGCAATCCAGTTCCATGGTCCTCTCAAGTAGTTCAGAGGTCTTCGTGACACGTAGTGCAGAAGTAGGTAGGTACTACCGATGGCTACCAGTGACCCAAAGAGAAAGAGTCCTTTGTTTATCACCTGTGAAGACATCACGAACTCTCATTGCATTTGTCCTGAGATTAAAATCTTGAAATAGATCTAATTCTTAAATGGCAAAGAAGTAAACAATTTCTTTTTTGTTCTTTAACCGGAAACATCAATTTAACTGCATGACCACCAAGTAAAGAATTGATATGGTCACAATAAGGTCAAGAATTGGGAACTTAATACCCCCTCCCTCTCAAGAACTTCATGAATCCACATGCTCTGTATGCAGAATTCTTAGCAGTCAGTCTTTGTACAACCATAAAAAAGACCCTGCAGTTTAGGAATGAATTATCTTAGGAGAGTACTATGCCATGGCCACAAAAATGGTCACATCTCATTTGCTGCACAAAGTATCCATAAGAAGAGTAGTGGGCTTGGCGGCCTCTGCAACTGAGAAGACATGCTCACCCAAAGTCTTTAAACACCAGCTGTAAATAAACAATGGCCCAAGGTTCATTCTAGACTAGGTCAGGTGCACTTACTATCCTGTCTTCTAACTGTCTGCTTGCCTCTTTTTTCCCTTCTAGATTTTCAGCTCCTTAAGGGCAGGGACCCTATTTTATTTATCTTGTATGTATAAATCTTGATTGTTTCCAATCCATCCTTCACACAGCAATGTAATCCTTCTAATATCGAGACCTGAGTCTATTAGCCTCCTTGGTCTCCCCGTTTCCCTCAAGATAGTATTCCAGACGTGGAAGGCCTGCTACATCTCCAGCTACTCCAGTGACCATTCTCACACACTTGTGCTGCCTTACAGCTCCATGGAAATCTTTGCCATTCCCAGTCCGGTGTGTTGCTCATGTTTCCTCAGCCTTCCCAAGCCTTGGCCCATTCCTCCCGCCCTGGTCCACTTCCCTTCTCCCCAGGGGCAGCTTATCCCTCTCCAATGAGTTGTCCGTCTCCCTCACTAGCCTCTGAGCTATGCAAAGGGTAGGGTCTGTGTCTTGTTCTTCACCATGCAAGCTATTTGTTGGATGAATTAAATTGTAAAATTCCCAAAGTGGAAGCTCAGGAACCTGAATTCCATTTAATGGCATCTCTATCCAAAACAAATGCATCATAGTATTACATTAAAATGAATGCTTTATAAATCATTCAGTTCGGTCCAGTTTTAAAAATTAAACCCATACGAATATTGCATGAAGCAAAATCACAACTACTTCATATTGCCAAAATAAAATAAAAAGCTGAGGAATGTTAACATGAGTTTCTTTTTAGAATGTCTTTCCCTCAAAGCCTCTCTCTTTGCCTCTTCTGTGTAGTGTTGTTCAGTAAGGACTCTGCCCTCTGAGTGCTTAGGACATTTTTTGTTTGCAAAGTAAACATTTGGTGTCTGTCCTATCATTTCTGTATTTGCTTAAAATAAACAGAATTATAATACTATGATGTTCCAACAGATCATATTTTTTAAAAAATGAAGTGTAATCTTTCTAACCTTTTTCTGCCAATGCCAGCGTAGCATAGCTTCATGGTATCTTATTCTGGTGAAGGTGACCTGCAGGGAAATTTAAAAGGTATTCTTGTGTATTCTTTAACAACTAAACAGGGGATTAAAATATGGAGATGTCTTAAATCCAGACCTTACCATAGAATAGAGAGGGATAATTGTAGATGGCATAAGAGCATGAAGAGCTCTCTCTATGTTCTGTTGAAGAATGAACCACCTTGAGTTGATATGTGCTCGCATCTGCAGTGAAGTTAAGAATCTTAAATACTTTTGAACAAAGTACATCTATTTTATTAGTGCAACTTATTATTACTCTTCATGAGTCATTACAACACTAGACACAAAGTGGCCAAATAAATTTTTGTTTTCATAGTAGTAATTCCCAGTCCCTTTATGTAAATGTCAGTCGCATAGAACATTATCATAAAAATGCACAGCAATTACATAAAACCTGTCAGGGAAGTCTATTTTGCTCAGGAGTCAACTCTATGTTGGCAGAGGGTTTGTTCAACCAGAACTGTGGGTACTCTGTGAACTGTTAGTCAAAGATTTGACAAACTTTCTGTTGCATCCTGGTTGATTTGTAACATTTTTCATGACAACAAGAGATTGTTTAAAGATATGTCTGTCTTGGCCAACTTCTTATTCAGGACAAATATCATTCTGTTTTTAATGACTCAGACAAGGTTCATCAAAAAAGCCTCCTAGTGTCTTATAGAATTTTCTTCACCACATATAATACAATTCTGCTCAAATTAAAGTTCACTTTCTGTCTTCAGGAGAAATGGAAAATAGCTAGTCATTCTCTTCAAACTTATCTTGTAAATTCTTTTATCTAATTTTTAAAAAACTGATCACAAACACTTATGAGCTTTTCATGTGACTGGTTCAAAATGTAATCAATATGTTTTTCTTAAAAGCATTACTCTTTCTGACCATGAATTTCTTTGGTACTATACTTTTTTTTTTTCTTCAGTGCATTAGGCTCCAAAGTATATTCAGTGCTACTCTAAATATGCTTTTTATCGTGTTGAGTGAAAAGATCATTTAACATTTCTTGGATTTTCTAAATGTTAACCATCTGAAAGTTATCTTTTCATTAAAATACCATATTACTAAGTGTCCTAAATGTCTAAGATTTAAGCATGTAAATTATCAGAGACTTTGCCAACTTCATTATCTCCTAAATATCTCTGAAGTAATATAAGTAGTTATGGTTTGTATCAGTCATTGACACTGGCTACATAGTCACAATACGCCCAAGTCTTTGTGTGTGTGTATGTGTGCGTGTGTGTGTGTGTGTGTGTGTGTGTGCACGTGCTCTCGCACACATGTGCTTGTCTGTACCCATTCTTACACAGCATGCGTGAGACAGGGCTGGAGCAAAGAAAAATAAAAGACCATTTGTTAGAAAATCGGTGAATCATCTCATGGAATAAAGCCAAACCTTCTCACTCACTTCTATGTAATTGTACATGGATAGGTCTGAAATTGCATGATTATCTGGAATTCTAAATCTCGAGAAAGCAGGAAGACACATACCTAGAAGACAAATTAAATAATACATCTTTTCAAAAACAGTCTATAAAAATGTGCTGGACTCTACTCAGGTCAAGTTAAATGGTAAATTCACTGCCAGTGTTCTTTCTAATCTTTTAAAACTATGTAACCATTTTATGTGACCAATAATCCATGACTACTGAACAATATACACAGAGCATTTTCTGTTGTAATTAAATAAAGCCTATAATAAATTAATATACATTATACTTGTTGATTAGTAAAATCATGATTTTTTTCTTATTTCAGAAACCAGTTCATGTAAATGAATGTAAATGACCCCCAGTTCCTCTTAGAAATTGCTACTTTCTTTTTTGTGCCCTGTTCATACTTGTTTTATTGTACCCAAGACACCTTATTGGCTTAAGCATCAGATCCTCCACTGTTCTGTGAGCTCCTAAAGAGCAGCTCCTAGTTCATGTTTGAAATCTTAACTTGATAGATAGTAAATATTGAATAAATGTCTGACAGATGAATGACTAACTGGTATGACTTCCATACAGCCTAACAGCTCTTGCTATTGGAAGCATCATTTCTAACTTCAGAAAATCTGGGTTCAAGTCCCAGCTTCATTACTTCCTAAATACATGATTCTGGGCAAGTTACTTAACCATCACTAAGCTTTAATTTCTCAGCTATAAAATGCAGACAAGAATAGTTCCCATGCTACGTGCTTTTTGTGAGGATCAAATAAGATAGTACATTTTAAAAATAGCAAGATACCTAACACACAGTAAATGATCAGTGATGTTAGTTATGATTATTTTTCACAATTATTATTGTTTTATCTTTGTTTCCTAGTACCCAAACCCAGTGTTGACAGTATGTTTCAACACATAAAATCTTCATCCACCTCTACTGTCAAGTGCAAACCAATCATGTGAGGGTTAAGAAGGGAGGAAACAAAAGTGCCTCTGAATCCTAAGCATCTGAGTGAGATGACTAGAAAGAAAGATTTAAAAAAAAAAAAAGAAATTTTCCTTGGCATTCCATAATCACTTCAGACCCAGGCACCAGTGTCCAGTAACTTCCTATAACACCATAGCAAACATTTACTCTCAGCTTACTCTATGGTAGGTTTTTTTTTCTTTTTAAAGCTTCATATAAATTATTTTTTAAAATCTTCATAACTCTCTGAAGTAGGTGTTATTAACTCCACTTAATACAAGGAAAAAAAAACTGAGGCTTTAGAAAAATTAAGCGACTTGCTCAAGATCACACAGCTAATAAATTAACGAGTCAGGACTTGCATCTGGCTGTAAGTTTAAGGCCAGTTCTTTTAGTCTCTCTTTTACGTAAAACAGGTTTAAATTTGCAGGTAGCCATTGAGAATATGTGATACTTGGAAGTACAAAATGGCTATCCACTTCTTAGGCTACTATTTGTACTTTCTTTATATATGTAATATATAGAGAGCTACATATTACATATATAATTATACACATGTAATTTAATTTCAGAATTACATATACAAACCCAAAATTTCAATATTTGTAAATTAGTATACATTGACTGAATGAATTTTAATCAAAAAACAAATAAAGAATCAGATGCAACCTTTAATAGGGCAAAAAGCAAGAAAGGACTAGAGCTTCTCAGAGTATTTCTGAAGATGTGCCATAAGAAATGCGGGCAGAGGGTTTCACCTAGGTTGAAAAGAAAGAGAAAGCGGCACATCTTAGCCATGCTCTGTTACTCTGAACTTTTATCTTTGTGCGGATCACTGCATGGACCTCCACATCCAAACTTTAAGAGAAACTATTTTCCCTTTCTGGGTACTCATTACCTGATAATGGGTAACAACCATGGAATAGGCTGTTAGTAGAAAAATATTCAATTCTGGACAGAGAATACACATCACGAGTTTGTGGTCATCAAGAATCATAAAAACGTCCATAATTAATCAGCAGAGCTAGTACAGGTCCAATTGAGAAATTTTACTTACTAAGGTTATTATTGAATTTATCCATGAACTCATCAAATATCAAGCAGTCTTCGAAGCCCTGAAACAATTTTTTAAAAAAAGGGAAAAAATAAACTGGGATTAATAAAAATTCTTGGCAATTTTGAACAGATCTTCCATTATGGTGGGTATAATTCATAAGCTGTTTACCCTCAGCCAGTATATAGCAGCTGAGTTGTCAACTGGCATTGATTATGATTGTAAAAGACCATCAGCTGAATGATTGATGGTGCTGTCTTTGTCCAGTTTATATATACACTATATATTGGTTATAATTATTTGGAATTTGATCAAGACTTTAAATTATGATTGCAATTTTGATGAATTTCATCGCTTCTTTGAGAAGAACAAATAACTGTATTTCTTTACTATGAGTCTTAGAATTATATTTAAGCTATTCAAGTTTTTAAGATTCACATTTAGAGCGATTCAATAATGGAATAAAACCACTCCCATATTAATTTAGTACTTATAACTCAAGACAAAAGCAAATTTCCAATATCAAAAAGTGCACACATTAGTAGTGTACTATACTAACTGCGGAGAGGAATAAGAAAATTGAAAACCCTGTTTCCTGTTTCCTAGGAATTCAAGCTATAGTTTTAAAGACAATATAAAGATAGTTTTAAAATAAAGTATTTTTTCACATAAATTATAGAAATTATATCTGGAGAAAGTAAATTTACTTAAATAAATTATATAGACCCAATGCTATAGGAATTTGATAATGGGAGATATCATATGGGGCTGAGATAATAGTTTTAAATACTATATTTAAATTAATTCATTTGTTCTCCACAAATCTCTGAGGTAGACATTATTAAAATTCCAATTTGACACAAAGGAGGTAAAGATAAGTAAGTTGGGCAAGAATGTGTTTATAGTAAATCCTGGCACTAGGTATCCTAATGCCAGATCCTAGGCACTTATCCACTAAGTTAAGATTAATGTCTTCTTATGCTTGTAAGGAACAAAATGTTTACCACTGCTTTGTGGAGAATATAATTGAATAGATTCACAAACTATTTTTACTTGGACTATATCCCAGTCACCAAAACAATATATGACTTATAATTATAAAGCTATTAGTTAGCATGCATGCACACACCTGCACACACACACAATAAATTTAGAATTCCTTGAAGTTAATGTTCAGTTTTTAAACACTATTTCTTTTCTGAAATTTTTTTTAGCTGGAATAGAGAAATTTTCATGAAGGCACTGGTGTTCAACATCTAATCAGCTTCATAGTTTTATTTAACCCTGTCAATCATGCTTCCCTTTCCTTTGGAATGAAAAAGTGGAAAAGAAACATAATTTCTTTTCTTTCTTTGAGACTAATATTATATACTTAAGTATAATATCTAGTAAACATACATTTTAATAATTAAATCTTGTATTACTTATAGCCAAGTTTATAAATTTGGAGCATTTTCTTCTAATAAAATAATACTGAACAGTCAGCCTGCATACCCTCAGGTTCCACATATGCAGACTAAATCAAGCTTAGATGAAAAAATATTCAAAAAAAGGACCAAGAAAAACAATGCAATTATAAAAAACAATACAGTATAACAACTATTAACATAGTATTTACATTGTATTGTGTATTATAAGTAATCTAGAGTTGATTTAAAGTGTATAGGGCCTTCTCCCCCAACTCAAGAAAAAGCAGCTTGGGGAGAGATTCCTTTCACTTGGGGAAAGGAGAGGAAAGAGTACAGAGAACTTTGTCTTTCAACTTGGGTACCAGTTCAGTCACTGTAGAACTGAGTACCAAGCAGATTCCTAAAGCCCCTGATTCCAGACCTTAGCTCCTGGACAGCATTTCTAGACTCACCCTGGGACATAAGGGAATCCACTGCCCTAAAGTGAAGGACCAAGTCCTGGAAAGGTTCACAATCTGTTGACTAAACAGCCCTTGAGCCTAGAATAAACATCAGCGGTAGCCAGGTTATCATCACCATAGCTCTTGAATGAGATTCAGTACTGTTCTGGCTTCAGGTGTGAACCAGTGCGGTACCAACTGTGGTAGCCAAGGAAGTGCTGCTGCCACCCCTCCCCTAGATAGCTCAGCATGGTGAAAGACTTCTTTTGATTGGGGGAAAAGAAGAGAAGAGGAGACTTTTCCTGGTAACTTAGGAATTCTCCCTTATCTTACCCAAGTCCACTGAGGGAGTGCCTCTAAGAGTTGGCAAGAGTTGCAGCATCCCTGGACTTAGGGTACTCCCTAGGTCCAATATAGCTACAGTGACCATAGGTTTAGATTATAGGACAATACTCATCCTCTCTGAATACTTGGAAAGCCTTCTCAAGAAGAATGGGTACAAGCAACCTAGGCTGTGAAGATTAAAATATATACCTAACTCTTCAATGTCCAGACATCAATAAATGTCTGTAAGCATCAAGAACACCAGAAAAAAAAACAAACAAATAAAAAAATGATCTCTACCCCACAAAACCATAATAAAAAAATACTGATTAATGAAAAAAAAATGATCTCACCAAAAGAGTTAAAATAAGACAACAGTGACCAATTGTAGAGTGACAGAGATTTTATGACCTTTCAGACAGAGAATTCAAAATACCTGTCTTGGAGAAGCTCAACAAATACCAAGATAACACAGAGAAGAAATTCAGAATTCTATCAGAAAAATTTAATAAGGAGATTGAAATGTTTTTTTCAAAATCATGCAGAAATTCTTGAGCTGAAATTTTTAATTGGCAAACTGAAAAATTCATCAGAATCTCTCAACAATAGAACTGATCAAGCAGAAAAAAGAATTAGTGAGCTTGAAGACAGGATCTAAGAAAATATACATTTGGGAGGATAAAATGAAGCAAACATATAAAATCTAGAAAATAGCCCCCAAAGGGCAAATCTAACAGTTACTGGCCTTCAAGAGGAGAGAGAGAGAGAGAGAGAGAGAGAGAGAGAGAGAGAGAGAAAGTTTATTCAAAGAAATAATAAAAGAAAACTTTCCAAAACTAAGGAAGCATATGACTATCCAAGAACAAGAAGATCATAGAGCACTAGGAAGTGTGCTACCCAAGACAATTCAACCTAAATAAAATGACCTCAAGGTATATATTAATCAAATACTCAAATGTCAAGGATTAAAAAAAAGGATCCTAAGAGTAGCAAGAGAAAAGAAGTAAATGACATATAAAGGAGCTCTCTAATATGTCTGGCAGCAGATTTCTTAGCAGGAATCTTATAGGTCAAAAGAGAGTGTAATGACATTCAAAGTGCTGAAGGAAAAAAGCAATAAAATCTTCTAACCTAAAATATTGTGTCCACCAAAATTATCCTTCAAGTATGGGGACAAATAAAGACTGTCCCAAACAAACAAAAGCTAAGGAATTTTGTCTTACAAGAAATACTAAAGGGAATTCTTCAATCTGAAGGAAAAGGAAATTAACAAACAACAACAACAAAAATCATTTGAAGGTATAAAATTCACTGGTAATAGTAAGTACACAAATACAGAATATTTTAATACTGCAATTGTGGTGAGTAAACTACTCATATCTTTAGTAGGAAAACTAAAAGATGAACCTATTGGCTGAGCACGTTGGCTCACATCTGCAATCCCAGCACTTTGGAGGCCAAGGAGGGAAGATTGCTTGAGCCCAGAAGTTCAAAGTCAGTCTGGGTAATATAACAAGACTTTGTTTCTACAAAAATATTGAAAAATTAGCTGGGGTAAGTGGCACACATGCCTGTATTCCCAGTTGAGGCAGAAAGATCACCTGAGCCCAGGAGGTCAAGGCTGCAGTGAGCTTGGACAGTTACATGGACAATAGAGTGAAACTCTGACTCAAACAAAACAAAACAAGACAAGACAAATCTATCAAAAATAATAATGACAACATTTTAAGAGAGAGACAGTATTAGGAGGTATAAATAGCACATTAAAAATAAAAAAACCTGGGAGGATGCAGGTAAATTGTAGTTCTCTCTTCATTTGTTGGCATTTGTTTTCTTTATAATCAGAGTTAAGTTGTTATCAGTTTAAAATAATTGGTTATAATATGTTGTTTGCAAGCACCATGGTGACCACAATACAGAAATCTATAAATGATGCACAAAAAATAAAAAGCAGGTAATTAAAACATACTGCCAGAGAAAAACTCAGTTTTACACAAAGCAAGATAAGAAGGAAAGAAGGAAGGAAGGGAGGGAGGAAGGGAGGGAGAAAGAGGAAGAGAAGACCAACCAAGCAACCAGAAAAGAAATAACAAAATGGCAGTAGCGATTCCATACCTATCAATAATCACATTGAATTTCAATGAACTAAGTTATCTAATCACAAGACATAGAATAACTCCATGGATAAAAAAGATAAGACCCAACTATATGCTGCCTACAAGAGACTCATATCACCTATAAAGGTACCCATAGACTGAAAATAAAAGGATGGAAAAAGATATTCCAAACAAATGAAAACCAAAAAAGCAGGAATCGCTACTTGCGATTCAAGTAAATCACATTTCAAGTAAAAGTCACATTTCAAGTAAAAAACTCTAATGACAGACATAGAGGGTCATTAGGGTTATTATATAATGATAAAGGAGTCAGTTTAACAAGAGAATTGTAACAATTATAAATATCTATGATGCCAACACTAAAAGCACACAGATGTATAAACCAAATATTAGAACTAAAGAGTGATAGACTTCAATACAATAATAGCTGAGTACTTCAACACCTCACTTTCAGTTTTGAACAGATCATCCTGACAGAAAATCAACAAAGAAACATTGGAACTAATCTGCACTATAGATCAAATGGATCTAATAGACATTTAGAAAACATTTCCTGCAGCAGCTGCAGAACACACATTCTTCTTCTCAGCACATGGAACATTCTCAAGAATAGACTATATGTTAGATCACAAACCAAGTCTCAAAACATTTTTTAAAAAGTTTGAAATTATATCAAGTATGAGAAAGACCCCCAAAACACTTGGAATTATTTTTTTGGAAGGTGGACCCTTGTAGTATAGGCTTCTCCCTCTAGGAGGGGAAGTGTTCTAGGAGCCCATTTGCATCAGGGTGCCAGCTAGCATTATTGTGAGAGGCTGTATTTGACTTCAGTGAATATTTTTTTCCTTTTAGATTTCTTTCAATGAGTATGCCCATTTCATTATGAATGATTTACAAGTGCTGAACGGTCAGCAGTTTTTGACCAAAAATGGCATTACCCTCCTCATGCCTCGCCCTCCCCATTCACCCAATCTCTCCCCAAGTGACTTTTTATTTTGTGTACCTGGGAGAAAAAAATTCTCAAGGGGAAATGTTTTGCTGATGTGGAAGAAGTGAAACAAAAATTGGCAGAAGCACTAAAAAGCATAAAAAGTGACAAGCTCACAAACTGTTTTGATCGGTGAGAACATCTTCTCAATAGGTGTATTGCAACAAACGGAGAGTACTTTGAAGGTGACTGAAATTTAAACATGTAAGAATAAATACACAATTTTTAATAAACAAATTCTGAGTTTTTTGAGGGGTCCTTCCTATCTTTTCTAGCCACAATTGAATAAAACTAGAAATCAATAACAAAGGAAACTTTGAAACCATAAATACACAGAAATTAAGCAATATCCTACTGAATGACCATTGGGTCAATAAAGAAATTAAGAGAGAATTTTAAAATTCTTGAAACAAATGAAAATAAAATACAACACACAAAATCCCATGGGATATAGCAAAAGCAGGACTAAGAAATAAATTTATAGCAATACACACAAAAAAGTATAGAAGTTCCTCAAAAAAAAAAAATCAAAATAGAGCCGGGCTCGGTGGCTCAGCCTGTAATCCCGCGCCTTTGGGAGGCTGAGGTGAGTGGATTGCCTGAGCCCGCGGGTTCGAGACCCGCCTGGGCAGGCGAGACCTCATCTCTACAATAAATCAAAAAATCAGCCGGGCGTGGTAGCGCATGCCTGTAATTCTGGCTACTTGGAAGGCTGAAGCGGAAGGATCGCCGGAGCCCAGCAGGTTGAGGCTGCGGTGGCTGGGAGCGGCCACTGCACTCCAGTCTGGGTGACAGAGTGAGACTCCAACTCAAAAAAATGTAAAAAAATTAAAAAAAAATCAAAATAGAACTACCATATGGTCCAGCAATCTTATTGCTGGGTATATATCCAAAAAGAAAAAAAGTAAGTTTATTGAAGAGATATCTGCACTCCCATGTTTCTTACAGCACTACTTACAATAGCCAAAATATGGAATCAAACTATGTGTCCTTCAAAGGGTGAATGGATAAGGGAAATGTGGTACATATACACAATGAAATATTTTCAGCCATAAAAGGAATGAAATCCTGTCATTTTTGACAACATGGATGGAATTAGAAGACATAATGTTAGTGAAAAATAAGCCAGGCACAGAAAGACAAATATCACATTTACTCACCTATACATGGGAGCTAAATAATAATAATAATAATAATAATCTCATAAAGATAGAGACTAGAATGATGGCTACCAGAGGATGGGAAGGGTAGTGGGAAGTGGGGGATTAAACCGGGGTAGTTAATGGACACAAAAATACAGTTAGTCAGACTGAATAAGGTTTGGTATTCGACAGCACAATAGGGGGACTACAGTTAACAAAAATTGATTGTATATTTAAAAATAACTAAAAGAGTAGAGTTGAAGAATAGAATTAACACAAAGAAATAATAACTGCTTGAGTTAACAGATACCCCAATTACCCTGATTTTCTCATTACACATTATATGCCTGTATTGAAACATTACACTAACTGCATAAATATATAAAACAATTATGTTTGAGTTCTTTGTAGTTTCTGGATATTAGCCTTTTGCAGTATAATCTGCAAATATTCTCTCCCATTCAGTATGCTTTCTGTTCATGTTGTTGATTACTTCTTTTGCTGTACAGAGGCTTTTTAGTTTCAGTAAGTCTCATTTGTCTATTTTAGTTTTGGTTGCAATTGCTTTTGGGGTCTTTGTCATAAGTTATTTGCCTCAACCAATGTCCAGAAGAGTGTTTATTAGGTTTTCTTCTAGAATTTTTATAATTTCACGTCTTACATTTAAGTCGATGATTCATCTTGAGTTAATTTTTGTATATGGTGAGAAATAGGGGTCCAGTTTCATCCTTCTGCATATAGCTAGCTAATTTTCCCAGCACCATTTATTGGATAGGGTGTCCTTTTCCCAACTTAACATGAAAAAAATAATAATAACCATATCAAAAAGGGGGCAAAGGACATGAATAGGCACCTCTCAAAAGAAGACACATAAGTGTCCAACAAACATTTGAAAAAATGTTCAATATCACTAGTCATCAGAGAAATGCAAATTAAAACTATAATGATATGTCACCTCACACCAGTCAGAATGGCCATTACTTGAAAGTCAAAGATCAACAGATGTTGGCACAGTTGCAGAGAAAAGGGAAGCTTATCCACTGCTGGTAGGACAATAAACTAGTTCAACCTCTATGGAAAACAGTCGGAGATTTCTCAAAGAACTAAACATTGAATACCATTTAACCCAGAAATCCCACTACTAGAGAGCTACCCAAAGGAAAAGAAATGAATATATTTAAAAGATACCAGTAGTTGCAAGAGAATTGTAGCACTGTTCACAATAACAAAATCATGGACCCAACCTAAGTGCCCACCAAAAATTGACTGGATAAAGAAAATGTGGTATATATACACTATGCAGCCAAAAACAAAAAACAAAAGAATGAAATCATGTCATTTGCTGCAACATGGATGGAACCGGCGATCACTATCCTAAGTGAACTAACTCAGAAACAGTAAATCAAACACTATATGTTCACATTTACATGAGGGGAACTCCCCCAAAACCCAGAATTTATTTATTTAAAAAATTGTGTACTTATTCTTACATGTTTAAACTTCTGTCATCTTCAAAATACTCTCTGTTTGATGCAATACACCTATCGAGATGCTTTTGCCACTACTCAAAACAGTTTTTGAAGTTGTCGATTTAGATGCCTTTTAAAGTGCTTCTGCCATTTTTGTTTCACCTCTTCCATGTGGACAAAACCTTTCTCTTTGAGGACTTTTTTCACACAGGGAAACAAACCCAATAAAAGGCGCTGGGAGTGAGATCAGGTGAACAGGGAGGGTGCGGTACAGAGGTCATGCAATTTTTGGTCAAAAACTGTTGAACATTCAGCATGGTGTGGTCAGGTACATTCATAAATCACCCATCAGGAAATGGGCAAATGTGTTGAAAATCTCCAAAAAAAATTAAAAAAAAAAAAAAACTCACTGAACCTGAATGCAGCCTCCCACAATGCTAGCTGGTACATTGATGCCAATGGGCTCCTGGAACACTTACCTAGCCAGGGAAGCCTGTGTTACAAGAAGCTCGTCCTCCAAAAGGTAATTCTGGTTTTGGTGGGACACCCCTTGTATTGGGAGCTAAATGATCACAAAGTTGAAAATAATAGACACTGGGGTCACCAATAAAGGGAGGTGGAAAGGGAGGTTAGGGTTTAGAAACTACCTAAGACACAAATGCTCGCTATCTGAGGAATCGGTCACTTGAGACCCAGTCCTCACCACTACACAATATGTCCCTGTAACTAACATGCATTTGTGCTCCCTGAATCTAAAATAGAAACAAAAACACTATTATGTGCCCATAATAATTTATAATGAACATTTTATTAAAAAGTACAAAATGTATAGAGGAGGATTTCTGTAGGCTATATACAAATACGATGTCATTATATATCAGAGACTTGAATATCTGTGGATTTTGGTACCCACATGGGTCCTGGAATCAATCCCCGGAAGGTAACAAGAGCTGACTGTATTTTACTTTCTGCTTTTTTCTACTATGGATTATTGGAACAAGTAATTCAAATTCTGACTAGAGTTGGTAATCAATCTAGTTAAAAAACTGGAATGATGGTTGAATTAACTGTTCTTAGGGATTGTGTGGGGATAGTCATACGTATATTTTTTTATTTAAGACTTGTTAGTTAAGATTTACCCAGCAATATCTCAGGGACTTACCCAGGGAAAAGAACTTACCGCATTCATTCCTTGCCCAAAAAATGGCACGATGGCATGAGCTGAATCTCCCATCAGTACACAGCGAGATTTAAAGTGCAATGAAGAACACTTTACAGATATCATGGGCTGGGCAGGTAACAGAAAGAAATCATGCACCAGAGCTCTCCTTCAAAGGAAAATAATCAGAATGTGTGTATGTCTAATTAGATATTAAATACTGCTAGGTTCTTTCAGATTTACTGAATTTAATGCCACATAAGAATGTTAGAAAGAAAACAGGAAAAGGAAAAATTGAAGTTTCTTCCAGTCCTAAAATTCCATTGTCGTAAATACTTTCTTGGTCTGCAACAATGATAATCTCATCCAAAAAGAAAAAAGTTTGGTGTATTTAAATAATTTGTATATTTCTGTGTTATATGCCATGAAAACTTCATGATCATGCACATGAGTCATTCAAATACACAGCTGTATTTTAAGTTTTCATAGAAAAATCAATCAAATGCTGTTGTACATTAGATTAGACAGCAACAAACTGAAATTAAAGTTAATGTGAATCCTTATGTATATGGAAATGGACAATAGTAATCAAACTAGAATTGGGGAGATTTGAATGTGTTAGTCAAAGCTTACAAAATTCTAGATAGAAAAAAAGGTTTAAGTGATCTATGGTGCTTATGGTAAAAAGTATACAAAAAGCCTAATATTTAAAAAGCATCTATAGAGGTTTTTGAGGAAGTAATAAGTAGAGCAAAAGTACATACCTTTAAAATTTTTAAATATGACCGGAGGGGTTTAAAAGAATCATGAAACCAGTTTAAAAGTACATAAGGGCTAATTTTGGTGTGCAGAGATTTCACAGTTAAAGAAGGATAAATATAGGCTGAATTAGTCTGTAAGAAAGGATGTGAACTACCGATTTTTAAAAGACCCGCTATGGGCCAGCAGTGGACTATTCCTTTAACATAATTAGCTCACTTCATTTTTTCACAACTGTCCTAAAATAGGCATTCTGATACCCATTTTAAAGGTGAGACACAAGGAAATAAGGGGCAGAAGCAGTATTAAAATCTTGTTCTGCTGTAGGATAAATGTTTGTCCCCCTAAAATTCATGTGTAGAAACACTAATCTCCAATGTGATGGTATTTGGAGGTGAGGCCTTTGGGTGGTGATTACGTCTTAAGAGTGGACCCTTCGTAAATGGAATTAGTGCCCTTATAAAACACAAACAAACAAATAAACCCAGAGAGATCCCATATCCCTTCTCGTGTCCCATGTGAGGACACAGTGAAAAGGCTTTCATCTATGAACCAAAGAGCGAACCCTTACCAGGCACCAAATCTGCTGGCACCTTATGGGCATCCCAGCCTTCAGAACTGTGAGTATTTGTATCATTTATAAGCCACCCAATCTATGGTAGTTTTGTTATAGTATCCTGAACCAAGAAATATTCTCTGCAGCATTGTGATGCCTTCATGAAGATATCATTGAAGGTGCAATTTGAGCTGGATTCCAGGAGGAGGGACAGTGGGAGCAGAAGCACTGAGTGAGAATGCATGACAAGGTCCTTGTGAAGGTTGATGTTGACACGGGCTAAGGAGCAACAGATAATTAACCAGGCAGCTAGCTACTGGGGGCAAGTTAATATGTGCCAGACTCTGTGCTGAGTGACTTATAGGTGTGATTTCATTGTTGTTCTCTCAACAACCCTTTGGAGCAGGTACTGTTATTTATTGACCATTTACCACAAGGGGAACATAGGAAAGCTGGTGTGGCTAGTAAGTGGTGGATCTAAGACTTGAGGCTGCCAAATGCAATTTTGTGCCAAGGATTTGTATATCTGCCAGTAGGAAAAGTACAGCCAGTATCTGTGGCACACTGAGCCCCAAGGGATTTGAGGGGCCTGCACAAGATGCACAAAAGCCTAGGAACATTCATGATTCTTCTTTCCTGGAAAAACTGACCATGGCATGAGTTTCTTCAGAATTCCTGCTCACTGCACAACATCAATATCCACTTAGACTTTTGCTCTCATGTGAGTTTCTGTCCATGACACTGCATGATTCATCATATTTTACCAACACTTAAATAAGGTGGGTAATCTTTATCTGAATTTGTAATAACAAACCGATGGAGCAAAAGGCACAATTGCATATCTTGTAACTTACTCTCCAATTAGAGGGATGGCATCCGGAAAGCACTTCTTGAAGAAGTCCAGCACATCACTACTGGTTACAAGTTTTTCAAACTCTTCAAAGGGCATGAACAGAGTGCATGTGAATGATTTGCTCTATGATAAAAAGAAAACTGAGTGAGAGAGAACAGAGAGCCAGGTGGTGTTGGCACTAAAGGTAGAGTCCTAAATCTCAGGGCTTCTTCCTATGACCAAGGAGCTCTTGGAAGGAATGTCTAAGCAGACAGAAAAGACACTGTCTCTTGTTCTCTCATTCCCAAAGAAAAGCTCTGTCATGTTCTAGGGGTGCTCTTTGGTTTCCTTGGTTATTAAGAGAATTTCTATATTGTAAATGCTCCGTTTTTACCAAGCAAACACTACACTCCAATAGGTTGGTTGGATTTGATATCCCTCTTTCTTTCTTTTAAGATGTTATTAATAGGTACTAGATCCCAGGACAGATACCAATAGAGAGAAAAAGACCAACCAGAGAAACAGATAGTCATATCTTTATAGAAAAAAAGTCTCTAGGGTCTAATGAAAGAAAAGTCATGTTCTTTTTTGATAATGTGTATTCAAATGTCCTACAGACCTTGAAGACTGGAAGCACTTCCTAATATAGAACCTAAATCTCTTTGACTTTACTGGGGGGCCATTTCCTCCTACACTGTCTTCAGTAGAGATGACAGACACCACCACACAGAAACTTCCATTACTTATTCATGTAAGTCAAATCTCCTTTCCAAAGTAAATAATTGGAATTCTTTCAAGTGCTTTCTCAGTAATCCAGAAGTTTCAAAGATGTAATCACTAAATAGACAAAGTAAGGTCTGCACATACTAAGTACAAAAGTAATTTAAAAAAACATTAATTATAGATGCAAAAATTACAATTGATAAGAAATTCTATACTACCATGTTAGGAAGTGCAATCATCATAAAGGTATTTCTAGGCCAAATATGCAGGTAATTAGGTTCCAAGGCATACTGCAGGGGAAAAAACATACATATTTGATTAGTGATTAATATTGCACATCTATAAAACGGACTCTGCTGTATAATTGTTTCCACAGTAATTTATGAGTAAACCAGTAACATATGCATGGTGATGTGCACGTCTATTGCTCCATATAAGTTGTCTTAGATAATATTTTGTGCTCTATCTTTATCAACTCAACTTTAGGCAGGTTTTTGATACCTAGTACAATTCAAGATTTGAGAACATGCTTAATAAGATGTATCTTTCTCTTTCTCTTCCCTTCACACATATAAAAAATATATATAAATATATATAAAAATATACATGTGTGTTTAGGTATATATATATATATATATATATACACACATGTATTTTACTTTATTTCAGTACTTATCTATATCAGAAAGAAAGATCTTAAGTTTAAATATCATAAGCCCCAAACATTTTACAAACAAGCTTCTTATCATTTGTTTCCTATAACATAAATAGCAGAGAGGAGTCTTGTCTCTTTAGTGATTTCTCTACAATGCCTACAAAAACAGCCTGTGTAACTATTGATTGCTTGGGTGAATCAATTGACCCAAAGACCCAATTGATCCAAATCTTGAAGGTTCCCAGAGGTGTTATATACATTAAGATATGCAATCAATTTTCCAACCATTTCAAATTTGTATCACTTTGTACAAATATTTAGAGAGCACCTTCCATGTTTATTTTACAGAGTAAGAAGAACACAACAGCACAGTCTCCCAAGTAACATTTTCAAACTGTGCTATAGTTATTTGTTTTAGGAGAAGGGACTGTGTTTTCCTAGCTTTTTTAGCCCTAGAACCTCACCAAAAATCCCACCACACAGATATAAAAATTAATAAGTGCATAACTCTTTGACTTCAAAGGTCTTTCAGTGCAGTAGAATAAGAAAAATAGATACATACAAAAAACCAAGTAAGTTCTCTTTAGCAGCAATATAAGTGGTTGAAAGACAAAAAGTGGTTTGGTGACAAATTAAAAGTAAAATAAATAAAAGCTTGACCAGTAAAACTTGTGTGGCTGGAGTGGTTAAAACAAGGAATCTGTGCGGAAGAGAAAAGCATAGATTAGAGAAGATGCAAAAAGGGCTGTGGCCTCTGGTAAGGTGAACTCATTGAGCCAAGTGGAGGAGACATACACGATCCAAGTGTTTTAGATGAGTAGTGAGAGACCATCCTGGATCAGGCAAATATCCTTGCTTTTTGCTCGTGTTATCTTCTGACCACTTCTACAACCTTTTAGAACTCTAAAAGGTAAGGAAGGAGGAGAAATGATAGCTGAAACCAATTTTATCATTTACTGCAATAGTACAGGTTAGAAGTACTGATTAAAACAGCTTGGAAGATATACACCTCCTGTCTTCCTCACTGACTTTGAGAATCGTTTATGTGTCATTTCGATATAGCAGATTGGATACCTAGAACATTTTAATGTTACACAGGCTGTTTTTGTAGGCATTGTAGAGAAATCACTAAAGAGACAAGACTCCTCTCTGCTATTTATGTTATAGGAAACAAATGATGTTATGTGACTCTGGAAAAAACACTTCTAAAATTTCAGCTTTGAGCTGTGGTGTCGTGGCTGTGAGCGTGCCTCTGCACTCCAGTCTGGGTGACAGAGTGAGACTCTGATTTTAAAAAATTCAGCTTCCTTATCATCAAGTCATGCTCTCAATAAATATCTTTATCCACTAGCAATCTCAAGGTCAGGATCAGCATAAGCCCCGTTGCCCCATTCACTGCAAATCCTTCCAAACTTAAAGTCTAAGCCAAAATTGTCTGCCAGCTGTACAAAAGCAGCTTTAAGATGAGTCTCCCATGCAGTTCCCATAAGTCATTCACACCATCTATTACCTTCAATTCTACCATCAGAAATGAAATGCAAGTGTCCACCAGAAATGAAATGCAAGTGTATATTGCATACACTGCATTAAGAAAAAGAAAAAAACAAAGAAAAAGAAGATAGAGAAACAGAGACAGTTTCATAAAATTGTTTTTGGGCCATGTCAAAATGTTCCCATGTTTGGGTCATATTGCTATGTCAAAACAGTGTTTCTTGAGAGAGTGGAGACTTTTATTTCTTTTAAACCACTAACCATTACTATTTATTATGCACACCTAGAAAATAAAGTACTACTTTATATCTACTTTGACAGGCACAATTCTTCTTAAGTCTGGGACAATTTTTTCAACAGAATTCTATTATACTGTAACCTGGAGTTATCAGATCCAGGGCCGTGAGAACAGGTCCCACTCAAAAACCTTATTATAAACATTGAAAAACTAGTGAATATATTTCTAACCAGAAGGAAGAAATAGAAAGGCAAAATTATGGGTTTGACTGGCTGGTATAGTTTGTTGGTGTGTAACACCACTCTCCCAAATTGACTAGCTTATTTTACAGCTAGCTATCTGAATTTCAGATAGGACAGATTAAATCACTATCTTTAAAACAGATGCCATGTAGGCAAATCAAGTATTCCATATTATTTACTTATCCTCACTTGTGAGCCAATATCCTCATTGCTTCTGTTAGTATTTTAAGTTTCCTTAACAAGTTTCTACGTTTATTTGCTTATGACAACATAAAAATTTGCAAATCATTTATATGCCTTCAATTACATATGATATAACAGTGGGAACTAGGAAATGAGAAAAGCAGAATGGAAATCTCTTGGCAACAATTTGCTGGTCACCTTATTTAATAACTATTATTGGATTTAATTATGGTTATAAGAACTCTGGTATATCGGTATACTGGAGAATTGATTTCAGACCTGATTTTTTCTCCCAAGAGAGCATAGATAAATAATATTATTATGTTAATGTTAATGCCCTGTGTGTTTCTAGTGGGTAGTTGTTACTAGTCTCCTTTCTTTTTCACTCAAGAAAGCATATCAAAAGTAAAGGAGTGGGAATGATATTATTACAGAGGTATCTGTGCACCCAGGTCATTGTTAATCACAAAGTGCTGTTACAGATCTTAAAACTGATTAAGACATGCTACTGACAATCACTGCACTGAAATATGCTTTTACACTCACGTGGAGGGAATGGGTAGAGAGGAGATAGGAAGGGGAGAGGACTTACATCCCCATTCTTAGGTGGAATAGACAGCTCCATGTACCCATGAGGAATGTACTGCTGACTGTAATCAAAGCGAGGCTTCTTCACGAAGTGAGATCTGACAGTTGAATAGGCTCCATCACATCCCACAATGAGGTCATAAGTGACATCTTTGGGAACATTGTCAGACCTGAAAACACAGAATGAACTATCTTTAAAAAAAAGTCTAGTGGTGAAAATGATGATGTACCTCTACTTCATTATGAAAAGTAGTGACTCAACGGATGACTCACAAAACTTGTACATGTCTGACTGAGAGCTTTGAGTCAAAAGATAAAAAATTAAGATGAAAGCACTTGTGCCAGTTATGAGCTTACTTATAAGAATGAGAACATACAGCCATGCTGATTGATAAAGCCATGCTAGGCCATAGAAGTGTGATAAGAGTTGAGCTCTTGGCAGGAAGGAAGAGCATCTTGAAAACAGAGCAAGGTGTTCCGAGGATATGAGAGAACAATACATTCATACATTCCAAGTGTGTGCATGGAGGTATGGAGAACTGCAGTGTTGTGACCTGGATTTTCTAGGAGCAATATGTTTGGCTTGAGTGGAGGGTATCAGAAGGCAATACATTGTGGGGAGAGAAAGGAAGGAAAAGGGAATCTTGATTGTTAAAAGGTTTAAATACATTATTCTGGCAAAAGGAAGAAAATGAATTTTTTTTTTTAAATTAGAGGCATGATATTTGAAGAGTGGTAATTTAAGAAAACTTGCTTGGCTGTTTGAAGTGGAGGCAGAATGCAGAAGGGATGGGAAACCAACGATGAGGTGAAACAACAGCCTACACCTGCAGGGATGAGAGCCTAAAGTACCATCCTGCAACAGGAGGAAGTTTCTGAAGCCAACAGGGAGTAAGGAAGTCTAGGGAGTGTTTAGAAATTTAATGGGAGAGAAAGGAAAAAAGGCACATAAGGATGGTTCTAATTATCTGGGCATTAGTATTGGGGAAGTCGTAAAGGGACATGTTTTAGGAGAAGTAGATAATCAAGGCTTTAGATATGTTTGAGATAATAGCAAGATGTTCCTGCAAAGATGTTTGATGGGAAATTAACATTAATTGACTGGGACTTTGATAAGGATTGAGAATGAAGAAAGAGACCTCAACCAGAAATGTTCACTTTAGGGATGTGAATTTACAGGTGTTGGTTGGATCGGTGATTGTGGATCCATGACCTATCCCAGGAGAGAGATATGAGATTTGGAACTTTAGAGGAAATAGAATCTGCCATGGAGAGGCAGAGAATGGCACCTGGAAAGAAAACAGAAGAAGCAGGGCAGCGGCGGATCACTACTTCAAGGGAGGAGAACATTTGAAACAGAGTAGGGTTACACGTGTGGAATGCAGTATTGCAGGAAGGTGAGCAAGCAGGAGAATCTAGGAGAATCCCTGGTGTTGATATTTAGAAAGCATCAAGGGCCTACTTTTAATCTAAAATTCCTTGCATCTAGAATCTACTTGGATTACCCTTTCAGTAATCGTGTAGCTCTTTCAAAAGAGCCAAAGAGCAAGTTTATAGATACAATTCTCCACTCCAAGTTTTTACCTCTGAAGTAACAATCCCGACCCTTGATTACCCAAGCACTGTGATCATTCCTTCCTCAGGATTACATTTCAACAGCTTGTGGCCAAAGTGCACCTTCACATTGGGGAATCTCTCGGCAGCTGAGGAAACAAGAAAGAAGGCAAATAGACATGAACTGTCAAAGTTTTATTTCACATAGCCAAATTGAAATATTAAACATTTCCTGGGAACAGTATGATAGAGGTATTTATCCTTAATGATGCAACAACTTAGTTTAAATGGTGTTTGACAACTGTTTGGCAAATGTGCCAGCATAATTTAGTAGTAAAATGGATGAATAAAAATCAGTTATCCTTATTTCAAAAAATAATCCAACCAATTCCGTTGTGCAAACTTTTATATCACTGTAATTGTTAACTATCTGGGAAGGAAGCATGCATTACATATTTCAAAAGTTGCCTCTGATTTAAGTCTTTATTTGTGATTGGAAATATTCAGTCAAACTCCTTTCCTCATATTGTGTATGTTTATATATCATTTTTTAAAGCAAGTCCTCTGGGCTTCTGATTGAAGTTGTCACAACTAGATATTATTGATACTAAGTCTCTTTGAAATCAAACAGTGAAATAGAGGATAAAATAAGCAAGAAGATTTGAAACATCTCAGTCAACAGCACTAAATTATTTTAGTAATTTTCTGTTCTGCTTGCTAGTAGACTACAGAATTGAGTGAATTTCACTTTCGAAACTATTAATCATGCTCTTGTTATAGTTTTAAAATATGATTTTTGTCCTATTAATGCTCATGAATAGACTTATTGTTCTTAAAGGTACAAATCAGAATGCAGGTGTTAGAGCTGAAATAGACCTCAGATATAATTTAGTTCAAAACTCTTTGTCTTAAAAAGGGAGTCACCAACATCCTAGAAGGAAAGGTAGGATGCCTGAGATCACCCATAGTAAAAAATTCAGGACAAAACTTATCAAGTTATATGCATTAATATGCACAGCTTTTTGTATGTTGAAAACAAAAATAAAAATTATATTGAATTTGAAAAAAACAAAAGAACTTATTTCCCCTCTTCATTTCAGTTTTTGTCTTATTTTTTTCTGCTTTGAGTTTGATTTGGGATTTGAAGATGTTAACCTCCTTAAATATGAGATTGAAAATGTTAGAATATTGAAATCTGAGAGACCCTAGTCAAGGAAATTTTTATGTATGTATAAGAAATATTTTGGTAAATAACTTTTGAGAAATCAGAGTTTACCTTATACACTAAGTACATATCTTAGAAACATAAATTGTGTTTGTGAAACAAACTTTTATAAAAATGTATTTTTTACATAAATGAACAGAATTACATCTCAAGGATTTTTCACAAAATATTAGTCCTGGGATATACTCCCTTAAAAACTGTTCTGTGGTCAAAGACAGTAGAGAAATACAGAATACTTTTGGGTTGTACTGTCCTGAGATCTGTGTCTATTGAGTGCTTGGAATGTGGCTAGTTTGAATTGAGATATATTTATATTTATACATACACACATATATGTATATATATATTTTATATATATGTATATATATTTTATGTACACATATGTATATGTATACACATAACTATATATAATGCCTGCATCTCATGAATAATTTTCTTATATTGCTTACACATTGAAAAAATAATATTTTGGATATAGCAGCTTATCTTTTTTTTTTTTTTTGAGTTGGAGTCTCCCTCTTGTAGCCCAGGCTGGAGTGCAGTGGGACGCTCACGGCTACCACAGCCTCGATCTGCTGGGTTTAGACATTCCTTCTGCCTCAGTCTTCCAAGTAGCTGGAACTACAGATGCATGCCACCACGCCTAGCTAGTTTTTGTGATTTATTGTAGAGGTGAGGTCTCACCAAGTTGCCCAGGTTGATCTCAAACCCTTAGTCTCAGGCAATCCTCTCTTCGGCCTCCCAAAGTGCTGGGATTACAGGCTGAGCCACTACGCCAGGCCGCAAATTATCTTATCAAAATTAATTTCACCCATTTCTCTTCAAGTGTTTTTGTAACATGGTTAATGCAAAATTTAAGATTACACATGTGCCTGGCATTTGTGGCTACGTGTCAAACAGTGCTGTCTTGGAAGATCTGTCAATGCAGTCTACTATAGTAACAGCCCTGAGAAGTACTGCAAAAAAAAAAAAAGACTTAAAACTTGTTTGATGCAGGATTCATCAAACTTATTTGACCACATATCCTTGGTTTGATTTGTTTTGGCTAACAATGATTAACATCTGACAGAATTCAAATGAAGTGCTGATACAGGGAAATGATTCAGTGACAATATTTTCAGAGGAGAGGTTGTTCAGTTAGGGAGGAATGAGCATCTATAATTGATTAAATATGTGGAATGAGTAACTCACACACTTGATGCCTTGTAAAGAAAGAAAGAACTTAACATGCCAAACAAAGTTTAGGAATCAAGAGATTTGCATTCATTCAATTCACATATTTGTGGCATTTATGAAATTGTGTGGCATACAGCACATTCCTAATGACAATTAGAGGAACTCCTAATGCATACACCAAGACTGCACCTTTCCCGTGGCTTAGCTCCTTGGTATTAGTAGATGTTTTATATATAATACTAAAGGCAGAAATTGTGATAAATGAAAGCATAGACTTTGGAATGTACAGACTCAAATTCAAATCCAGCTTCTACCACTTATTAACAGTGTGACCAACCTCTGCTTTCTACACCTCCATTCCACCACTTGTAAAACTGAGATAAAAATAATTTCCACCTCACATTGTTGTTGGGAGAGTTATACATCGATGCGTATAAAACACTGAACATAGTGCCTGGAGTCTTAACAATTGTTTGCTATTATGCTATGATTTTTATCTTAATAAATTCAGAGAATGCTAGAAAGAACTTGTCATAGGTCTGCGATACTGCTTTATAAAAAGGGGTTGTATGGTTCATTTGCTTTCTTAAGATCAGCACAGATATGTCCAGCAAGCTGGCTGCACTCCACCCATCTTCTGATCCAAAAGACAGACTTACAAATTAACTAAAGAAATAAAATTAAGGATAATATTAAATCCTCTCTCTTAAGTCCCTGGTGAATCAACTAAAGTGAGCTTTTTCATTGTATGCCTCCTCCCAGTTTAGATCCAATTCAATTCAACAGACATATTGTAGAGAAACAAAGATAAATCATGTGGAAACTCTGTCCTCCAAAACTCTGCTGCTGGACTATCTCAAGAGTGATTAGCTTAAAAGATAGTAGAAATTACTTAAGTGCCATGCTTTGTTGGGAATGCATTTGTTTAGTACAAATGCTGACAGGAGGAAAAGCTTCAACCACCTAGGTTTGAATTTAGGAAGGGATACATGGGTGTGATCGGATTAATTATCCAAGCTACATATTTAATTTGCAATCCAATGGCCTTCAGTTAGTGGATAGGCCTTTTTATTTACTCAAATTAAAAGATTTGAGTGTTATATTTCACACCTTCCTCTTTCCCAGCTTCCAATATCTCCCTATCTATTTGGTCTTTTCCAGATATCATGAATGCACACCCTACCCTCCAACCACATTGCTATAGACTTATTCCAGGGCCTCGCTTTTGTGCCCAGGGATGATGCACTGTCCGAAGATTACAACTTTTGTCTTCACACTACTACTTTTCATCTTTCTGAAATGCAAATCTGTGTGTCACTTTGCAAATTGTTCAGTTTTATCTGTTGTTCCACTAAACTGTAAGTTCTTCAGCAGAGAGCAAGCACTCATTCATTCATTGCCAGGCACAGTGGCTAGCACCTATAATCCCAGTAACTCAGGGGACTGAGGAGGGAGAATCACTTGAGGTCAGGAGTTTGAGACCAACCTGGGCAACATAGTGAGACACTCCCCCATCTCTAAAAAATTTTTTTAAAAAAATAATACCCTGGTGTGGTAGCATGAGTCTATAGTCCTAGCTACTTGGGAGGCTGAGGCAGGAGGATTGCTTGAGTGATTTTCCTACCTCAGCCTCCCAGGAGTTTGAGGTTACAGTGAGCTATGATCACGTCACTGCATTCGACCCTGGGTGACAGAGTGAGACCTTGTCTCTAAAAAAAAAATAAAGAAAGAAAAAAGAAAAAAATTAGATCATTGATATTTTCAAGAAGAACTTTGTCATGTACATAATCTTGTTCTCCATAACCCATAAAAAGGAATCACAAGCAAAGCTAATAAGTTATGCTACAATAGGATTATCTCATGTGCTTTATTCAAAATGACAACTGGTGAATAAAACCAATATGGACTTACCAGTCAACAGATAGTTGTTTAGATTTTCTCTGCTTAGAGAAAGAATATACTGCAAGAAAAACAGAGTAGATACTGTTTATTTCCAGAGAATGGACAAATATAATTCTAAATTATTCACTCTGCAATAAAAAGTGTCTTTTATCTAGCAGAAAGTTACAAGCCTAGTTGTATAACCATTTAGCTAAGTGACTTAAAAAAAAAACACTTTAACCAAATAAATACATATAATACAATACACAAGTTCACACTTAGGCTTTCACAATGCTTGATACCGTCAAAAAACAAATCCTTCTTGAACCTGAAATATCATTTTCATTAAGAGAATTTTTAAAAAATCATAAACGGGCTGAACTCGGTGGCTCGGCCTGTAATCCCAGCACTTTGGGAGGCCGAGGCGAGTGAATTGCCTAAGCCTGAGGGTTCGAGACCAGCCCGGGCAACTTGGCAAGACCTCGTCTCTACCGTAAATCAAAAATTAGCCTGGTGTGGTAGCACGAGTTTGTAGTTCTGGCTACTTGGAAGGCTGAGGCACAAGGATCATGGGAGCTCAGCAGGTTGACGCTGGGGTGGCCATGAGTGTGCCACTGCATTCCAGCCTGGGAGACAGAGTGAGACTCTAACTCAAAAAAAAAAAAAAAATTATAAATGTCATATTTTCATCGTGGGTTTCCAAATTTAACTGTTAAAAAGACTTCAGTTTATTCTATTATCAGAAGGAAAAAAGTAAGTACAATAACAATGAACATACCATAATAAATCCAGCTTGGATTAGGTTCATCTTTATACTAATGTACTAATACTATTTAATTTTTACTATTTATTGCTTTATAGAAAAAGAGGCCCCCAGAAGGAAGCAAAAGTTCCTACCCAGGACCCATGAAAAGTCATGATGCAGCCTTGTAATTCAGATGAATCTATTCTTTAAAAATTTAGACTGGGCACAGCAGCTGATGCCTGTACTCCCATCACTTTGGGAGGTAAGAAGAAGCATAAGATCATTTGAGGCCAGGAGTTTGAGACCAGCCTTGGCAACTTAGCAAGAGCCCATCTCTACAAAAAATAAAAATAAACACAGTCAATATGGTGGTGCACGCCTGTAGTCCTAGCTATACGGAGGCTGAGGCAGGAGGAGTGTTTGAGCCCAAGAGTTTGTGGCTGCTATGAGGTATGATCATGCCACTGTACTTCAGCCTGGGTGACAGAATAAGACCCTGTTTCTTACCCCCCCAAAAAAGTTAAAGCACATAATTTTCTAAATCATGAGACATCACAGTATTTTTAACAACAATATGCTAATTTTTGAATCTTTACCTCATCCAAAAAAATAGAAATTTTACGTTAACAGTTAAATCTATACTTGGTATAAAAATAACTTGGCCATACCACAGTGATAAGGACTGAGGAGGCGCTTCCTGTCTTTGTACAAATTAAAACGAACAGACACCTCTTCATTCTCTGCTTCATAGTTCTGTTTTCTGGTTTCTATGTCATTAATAGACTGCATTTCAATAGATACCAAACTGTTTAGTCAAAATATGTCAGGAAACATTCAAATTATGAAGATTCATTTTTGTGGGGAAAATATTCTTTCCATGTCAGTTTTCAGGCTTGGTTGACATTTGCATCATCTGAGCATGTCAGTCCTGCAGGAACACCAGGATGTCCCTGTCTAATCTATTCCACATCTTTGGACAATTTTAAATCATAACCAAATTTATGAGGCATTCCAATCAAGCCACACTTCTCCAGTATGGAATGTATTTATTCTAAAAGGTTGAAATTATGAAGAATAAACAAGATTAAGAATAAACAAGTCAAGAGCTATACAGTGGCCCCTAAAATCAAAAAGATAATAATGGTAAAACCTAAAAAAGATTATATAGATTTAGAGATTTGCAAGGTGATAAAGTTCTGACTATTTAGAGATTTGCAAGGTGATAAAGTTCTGACTATTTCATATATATTTGGGAAAAAACTGCTTACTTTCTCTATCCTCAATGCCTCCCAATGAGAATGTCTCTGAACAAGAGGATGCGGTTTTTCTATTTTGAGCATAGGAGTTTAGCTCTGACCTGTTCTGTATATCAGTGAATATTTTGACAGATTTCAGGGCAATTTGCAAGGAAGATGGGAGGATCCAGCAAGACCAGAAGAGTCTTGGGCACACATGGGAAAGACAGCCTAGAAAAAAACAACTGAAGGAGAAGAGGATCAGAAAGGTCCAATTTTGCAGATTAGGGATTTCAAAATTGTTTGCCATGCCATGGAAATGTAGTCTTTTCATGAACTGTAGGTCTTCATTAGACTCATGAGTCTTTGAGTGAGTGTGGCTTGTGGAAATCAGTGAAAGAGATGGATTTCCTAGCTAGACTGTCGTGGTTCACAGCCAATGTCAGATAAGAGGGAGCAGGGTACTGAGAGGCAGAGGAGGCCAGAGAAGATAAGCTTCCTGGGGCGCTGATGAAACCCCGGGGACCTGGGGTTGGCTTTGTGTTTCCACAGGCTGTGGAACTGATGAGTTCAAAGTAATTTTATGTAGCTCTTAAAGGGCAAGGAGGTTCCCATGTTTGACTGAGATATAAAAGATGGAAAAACTGTAGTATGAGGGGCGGCTGTAAATTTAGCAATAACTCACTTCTTAATAACTAAGAAATAGCAGAAATGAAGAAAGCGGGACCATTTCCTCTTTCATATAATGTATTGAAGGCCCCCAGATGAAGATTCCCATCAACACTTTCACCCTCTTGGGAGATTGATGCTTGTTTTCTTTTTTTTTCTTCTTTAGTTGGAGTCTCACTCTGTCGCCCAGACCGGAATGCAGTGGCCGCTCCCAGCCACTGCAGCCTCGACCCGCTGGGCTCCGGCAATCCTTCCACCTCAGCCTTCCAAGTAGCTGGAACTACAGGCGTGTGCTACCATGCCCGGCTAATTTTTTGATTTATTGTAGAGATGAGGTCTCTCCAAGATGCTTGTTTTCTCTCTCTCTCTCTCTCTCTCTCTCTCTCTCTCACACACACACACACACACACACACACACACACACACACACACACACACACAGACACGATGGTGGGGTGAAGAACCCAATTTTGTTCTCTAGTCCAAGTCACTCTCCTCACTTAGCTCTTCTGATATTTGAACAATATCTTTGTCTGTTGACACTTTATTGGCTCCGTCTCTGGAGGAGGAATGGATGTGATGGCTTGGCCTTCTTTAGCACAGTCCATGTCAATGCAAGTGAATGGAGAAATGATTATCGTAAGTCACTCTCAACTTAGTAAAGAAATTCATGTAACTCAGCAGGATAACCCAGGCCTGTACCATGTATGACTGGCAGTTCTCCTATGAGGATACTTGTCTTGTTTCTCCCTAGATGTGACAACCCTTATGTAAATCAAGAAGCCTATGTTCTCATTTGTAAAACAGGGTAGTCGGATTCACTGAATCTAAGGTTATTGATCACTGTTAAGATTCTGTTATGCTAAAGTGTATTTACAAGTGGTATTTTTTCTGAAAATACCACTAAAAAGAACACAGTGGACTTTCTTTCCCTTCTTGCCCCCGTCAGGCTCCTGAACTGACTCTTACCTGTGTTTTTATCATCCAAATAAGCAGGTTACTATTTTTAAAAAGCCATCAGATAGAACATTTTGATCCTGCTGCCATCTCAAAGTTCCTAGCTCTTGGAATGTTTTGCTTTTCAGGCAAGTAGATCATCACAAGAGCCATGAAGACCTCGTTCCCATGAACATATGTGATTTATCTCTTGCTGCCCAAAGTGTGGTCCACGGGTCAGCATGGATACCACCTGAGAGCTTGTTAGAAATGCAGAACCTCAGCCTCCCAGACCTACTGAGTCCGACTGCATTTTAACAACATCGTGGGTGAGTCTAGGGAGCATTGTACCACCTGCAATGAGCACTCTGCAGAGGGTCAGAGACCCAAAAGAATATGAATCTCTCTTGGGATATACGCTTAATAAAAGGAGGTGTGTCTGGATAAAAATAGAGCAAGTTGGAGGTTTTCTTTTGTGATGGATGTTTGGTACATTCATTCTCTCTCAAGGAAGCAAAAGTTATAATTTGATAAAAATACATATATTTCCCAGCTCTGTACATTACTATGTAAAAGATAAGGAAACCACAAAGCAGTATAATAAATCTTCTTTCATAAATTTTCCAACACCCTCTGGCCTCTGCTGTTCTAAAAATTATTTAGTACTGAAAACTTTTTTGGTTCATTCAATATATTCTATTAAAAACAAATAAAGAGCAAGATAATTTGTTATGGGAAGGCAACAACAATCTAAAACCCTCTGTAGTTGCTATTGCACATTCTGCTCGACAACAAATAACATGGTCATCTTCTCTGTTTAAATGGAAAAGACAAGAGAAGGAAAGGGTATCACAGGCAGCCAGGTAGAGGCAGTAAGGCACAGAGGCAATAAATGGCCTGATAAAGAGAACAATACTAGCTAACTCTTTTTGAATGTTTATTCTGGGCATGGCCCTGTTTTGAGCATCTCCTGTGAATTAATTTGCTAACTGGAGTTTAGATTGAGGCCAACAATGCCAAAGATAAGACTAGAGAGGAAGAGAGGTGCCAAGAAGCAAGTGGCAAGTTCTAGATATTAGACTTAGTTCTAGATGTTATAACAAGTTCTAGCAAGTTCTAACAAGTTCTAGCAAGATATTATAACAAGTTCTAGCAAGTGGCAAGTTCTAGATAATCAAGCACAAACAATGATCTCCATGGTAAACCTACTTGAGACTTTGTCCCATAGGGACTTGCAACCTTTTTTCCGGAAAGATAATGAATCATTCTTGCTCTCATGGGAATACCTTGGGATACAATCTGAAATAAAACCAGAATGATTGACTTCAATGGCTATAACGTGGCATTATGCAAATAAGATTGATATTGACTTTAAAATATTATTCTCAAATATTTTCCAAAAATTGTAAACTAAAAAAAAAACAACATAAAAGCTCAACATGGTGGAAACTCCTTCAGCCATGAAAATGGTGTTCCTGAAAGTTTCACTTTGTTTTTTTACCTTCTACCTTAGAACTGACAGAGTTTATCTGATCTAAATTAAATATCACAGATTGAAGAAGGTGATTCAGCATTAGAGAGATTGAGTGATTTTCTCATGATGACAAAAAGGGACATTATGAGGAGTAAAACTCAGGACTTCTAAAATCCAATGCAAAGTGTTTTCTTATACATAGCTGCTGCTGTTTGGAAGAAAATTTTATGAATGCAAATTGGACTGAACATAGTATCAGGAAAAACATGTATCTTATATCTGTTTACATTTCCAAGTTAACTGGTGGGCAGTGAGAAGTTCTATATCATTAAGTCCGTGTGAAAAAAAAATCTATTATAGACCCACCATCCCTTAACCAAACCTATGGGGTTTTACGGTTTTGGAATTTTTCAAATTTTGGATGGTAGTGTAGTGCATATAAGCTGGATATCGCATAACACCCACGCCATAACCAAACACAAAATTTCTATAGCAAAACATATTCCCGCTAAAGGAGATTTTTATTTTATTTTATCTTATTGAGTCGGAGCCTCACTCTGTTGCCCAGGCTGGAGTGCAGTCACACGATCATTGCAGCCTCGACCTTCTCGACGCAGGCAATCCCTTCACCTCAGCCTTCCAAGTAGCTGGAGCTACAGGCATACATCACCATGCCTGGCTAATTATTTTTTAATTTATTGTAGAGACGAAGTCTCACCAAGTTGCCCAGGCTGGTCTTGAATCCCTGGGCTCTGACAGCCCTCTTACTTCGACCTACCAAAGTGCTGGGATTACAGGCATGAGCCAGGCCCAGCCAAGATTTTTTAAAAGACCGATAAAAGTCTCATGCTAGATCAGGTTTTGCTGCCTGAGTGATGAAAAGCTTTCTGTTTCAGAAGGGATTTTTCGTTTTGTTTGTTTGTTTTTTGAGAACAGAATCACAAATAAGAGAATAATTATGTACCTGTAAAATTATTTTTTTAATGGAATTTGTCTCCTGATATCCTAAATGCCATTTAACTCCTACTTTCCAATGGTTAACGATCTACCATACTGTTGAGAGTCCAATGTCAGAAGCCATCATCAGTTGTGGTTGCAGTATTCCCCTCAGGTGTTTCAGGTGTCAAGTGTTCACCCTCTTGCCAAAATCAGAATTGTGACAACCTTTGTATAATGAGTTGTCATGCAGAAGTTCTTGGCATTAAATAGTACTTCAAGCCAGGATGAAATCAAGACCACAAGATTGTTAAAAACCATGTAACATTTTCTTCTACAAGAAAAATGCATTCACAAGGTACCTGATCTTCTAGACCAACAGCTTTCAGGGCTTGTATTCCTCTGTGAGAAAGGGCCAAGTTAATGCTTCTTCCACGTGTTAATGTAGCAACTCGCATATCTAAGACATTGGAAGCAGACTCCATGTTACACACACATTATATGGAATGTACCAAATGATCATATTATCATACCAGAACAACAGGTCCATTCATAACCAAATTAAAATACCTTCTTAACTCTTCTGAAGAAAATGCTGATAGCGGCAGGCTTGAATTAAATTAAATGCAGATAGTTGAGATTGTTAAAAAATCTAACACTTTTCAAAAAACTTTATTTTATTTTTAAAAACTCTCTAAATTCAGAAAAATCTAAAGAGAAATAAGCCAAAGAATTAGAATACCACACATCTCACGGTTTCACTATCTACTTACCTTCCCTAGCTTCATACACATCAACTTGGAAACTTCTCTTTGCAAGGAAGCATGCGTTTAATGATCCAACCTGGAAATCAAACATTTTATAAATATTTTTCTCTTATTACACAAATATAGAGAATTTTTAGTGGCAAGATGAAACATCATGCGCGGCTTTACTTTGTAAGCCTCATTTACCACGTTGACTTAGTCACTGTTGGAAAATACCAGTGGCAAAAGCAGTGAGATTAATTCAAGATCAAGTGATGGCATTTTAGAGGTAGTTTTGGTTTTCTCTTTTTTAAATTTGGAACTTAGGCCATTGCTAATTCCTTTTTTTAAAAATAATTTTTTTTATTTATTCTTTTTAAAATTTAATTTAATTTCAAAGTTGTGAGGTCCAAGTCAGAACTGCATACATAAGTGATTTAGGTACAGGTGGAATTTGGGGCCTCCTATTGGACCTCACTTCATCTGGATTAAGATTAGGCACCCTTATTGTTATATTCCCTTTCCTCCACCACCTCCCCACTCCCACCCTGGTGGTATCCTGCTGCTGCCAATCCCTTTTTTGTGGTATTATGACAGGTGTTCAGGATCCACTTATGTGAGAGCATGTGGTACTCAGTTCTTCGTTTCTGTGATAGATCACTGAGTATAGTTTTCTCTTTTTAAAAACTTTTTAATCGTGAGATATAACTTTTATACAGAAAGAACATAAAATGTGTCCAGCTTACAGAATAATTCAAAAGCAAACCCTTATAATCTTATAGCCACAACTCTGGTCAAGAACTAGAACACTGCCAGTCTCCCATAACTCCCTTCTCCTCCCAATTACAATCTCCTTTCTCTCACCTATATATAGGTAAACATTATTCTGACTTCTGTGATAACCCATCCTTGCCTCTTAATAGTTGTACCACTTTGGTATATATACTTCTAAGCAATACAGTTTAATTTTGCCCATTTTTGAACTGTATAATTAGAATCAAACTGTGTATTTTTTGTAACTTGCTTCTTGAACACAGCATTTTGCTTACAAATTCATTCATAGAATTACAAGTTAACTTATGTAATGTAATAGTCATCCATTTTCATGACTATCTGATTACAGATCATCCATTCTACTGTCAAAGGACATTTGACACAGATCATCCATCCTACTGTCAAAGGACATTTGAGTTGTTTCTGGTCTGGGAATATGATGAACAATGCTTCAAAGTACATTTTTGAACATGTATTCTGGTGAATATGTGATGATCTTCCTCCAGGGTTTTATATGGGGAAGTTGAAACGCTGGCCAAAGGTCTATGTACTTTTACCTTTGCTATGCAAAAGTGTTTCAAAATTTTGTATTAATGTGTTTCCCCACAAGCAGTTTCAGATAGTTTATTTTTGCCAGCACTCGGTGTACTCAAATTTTTAAATATTGTGGGGTGGAAGTGTGGGAGCAGGTAGGGAGGAGAGGAATGTGGCTTTAATTTGCATATGCCTGATTACTAAAGAGATTGAGTGTTTTTTCATTTATTCATTGGTGGTTTGGATCACCTCTTTTGCAAAGTGCCTGTCATTTTCTCATTTTCTATTGAGTTGTTAACATTTTTGCTACTGCTTTTTTTCTTTTGAGCTATTCATAGATTCTAAGAACAGTATTTTTGTCATTTTAAATATCTTCTTCCATTCTATGCCTGGCTTTTAAAATGTTGTAGTCTATTTTGAGGATGAGAGGCTCTTTATTTTAATATAGCCATATTTCTCTTTTAAATATTTTTTAAATGTTTTAAATATTTTGTTTTATTGTTAATGCAATCACAATTGTTATTTTTAATGTAATCACAAATGTTTTGTTTAAGAAATCTTTCCCTATTCTGAGCTCATGAAGAATTGCTTTATCTACTGTCAGATGAAAGCTATATAGTGTAATTTTATATAGGTTGCAGTAGTTTATTTACTGCCTCATCACTAGCAACTTAAATCTGGTGAGGTCATCTGTGTTCAATTATTACACTTGAATTTTTTTTTTTTTTTTGAGTTGGAGTCTCACTCTGTCGCCCAGACTGGAGTGCAGTGGCCGCTCCCGGCCACCGCAGCCTCGGCCTGCTGGGCTCCAGGGATCCTTCCGCCTCAGCCTTCCGAGTAGCCAGAATTACAGGCATGTGCCACCACACCCAGGTGATTTTTTGATTTATTGTAGAGATGAGGTCTCGCTGCCCAGGCGGGTCTCGAACCTGCGGGCTCAGGCAATTCACTCACTACACTTGAATTTTTAACAGCAGTCAATACTGTTTACTAGACCTTCTTGAGACACTAACCTTCTCTCATTTTTTGGTTTTCTACATTCATTTCTGGCCATTTCCTCTTTCATCTTTGCAAAGATAGACAATCAGATGTTGGAGTTTCTCAAACCTCCATCCTAGTCCATCTTCTATATCCATAATAATGCAGAAATTTATATCTCCTATCCAGATCTCTTTTTTGAGCTCACACATACAAATGTTTACTTGATGCAGTTTCTAGTATATCTCAAAGTTCCTCAAAATCAACAGATCTGAATTGAAACTTGTGATCTTTGCCTCCCATCACATTAATTCTCTCTACATATTACTATGTCAGTGAATGATACACCATCCATTCACCCTTGGTCCCTCTCTCTCCCTCACACTCCATGTCCTATTTATTTGCAGTTCTGCCAATTCTACCTTCTACTGTTTTTTCAACTGCCAATCTCTTTTCATTGTCACCATTGTGCTCCTAGTTATCAGAATCATCATGCTTGACGAAAATCATATTTTCTGTCAATTCCACCAGTATTCGTCTGGCCTCTTGCCAATTTCTTCTCCACAAGCAGCCATTTGGAGTCATGGTATATAATAGGTCATTTGAACTAACACCTCTGCTGAGAGAAAAAGGAAATAAATATGGCATTTAGAGCCACTTCTCGGGGCATCTATGGAATGAAGGAGAGGTTGAGAACCTCAATAAAATTTTTAACAGTCTCAAGGAGCTAAATGGCAAAATTTGGAGTTTGGGACACCCTCATCCACTACTCAATAAAGCAGGCTCTGACAAAACCCTTAGGCTTTGGGTCAGAGCCCTTCCTAAACAGGGACATCTTATAGGTGAGGCTGAATGGACAGAAATCAATGGCCAAAGAGACCAAAGCCTGTCTGGGAATTATCACTAATCTGATTGGATTACATTCACATGTGATTGCTGGGTGCACAGCCACCCAACAGAAGCAAACATAGGTCCTCCCTGGTAAAAAAAATAATGGCATCACCACACGTGTCAATTTTTTTTCCTTATTTTTAAATATACAAATTTGAATGTGTCACCCTTCTGCCCTAACGTTGCTAGCCTACTTTAAGCCATTGTATTCACCATGCTTTTCCCCCAACTAAGGAATTTATCATGAATTATTTCCATGGCCAGAGCTGTTCTTCTCTTTCCTCTTTACATAGTAAGTTCTCATTTATCACTCATCTCCTCTAAGTCTCCACTCAGTTTCACTTCCTAAAGGAAGCCTTCTTGGTCTACCCTACCTCAGATGCCCTTCTTTTGACTTCTGCTACTGCAATAAACTTTTCCTTTGAGAAGTGTTACTCGGTGAATCGTGTCCTTCCAACTTCATGTGTTCAAATCCTAACCCCCCAGTACCTCAGAATGTGACCTTATTTGGAGGTGGAATATTAGTCAAGTTAGAGTGAGATCCTAGGGTAGACCCTAATCCAATGACTGATATCTTTGTACAATGGGGAATTTGAACACAGAGACAGACATGCATAGTGGAAAGGTAGTGCAAAGAGCCAGAGGAAGAAACCATTCATCTACAGGCCTTATAGCTCTCAAGAGGAACCAATACTGCTGACACTTTGATTTTGAACTTCTAACCTCCAGAACTGTGAGACAATAAATTTCAGTTTCTTAAGTTACCCAGTTTGTGGTAATTTGTTTATGCAAACCTAGCAAACTAATACAAAGAACTTATCATGATGGAAAGTTTACATCTTTAGGGTATTTCTGTAACCAATATCTGTCTACCCCACTAGACGTATATCTGTCTACGCTATTAAATGGTTTTGCTCATTATTTTATCCCTAGCTTCTACCATTGTGTTTGTAACATAGTAAGTGCTTGATAAATATTTGTTGAATGCACACATGATGGTTATATTTTTAAGTAAAATTTGTAAACAGATGAAGTCAAAATTTGTTGAGCACATACTATGTAAAACATAATCTGGTAAACTTTAGAGATTTAAAGGTTACCAAGAGAAGTTTTTGTGTCCAGTTAATGCTTTATTTAATAAAGATGAGACAAACATATAAACTGATCAATATTTAATAAACCTCTTTTGAGTATAAAAGTTCACTTTTTACATAGAAAATTTGTAGATTCCTTCATATTATTTGAATTTCTAATATGGTTTTAAACATATTAGAAATAATAAATTTAATCACAAAACATCTATATATGGTTAAAAATAATTATGCTTTTCTGGCAATATAATATTTTTCCATTTACCCTGTGTTTTGTGTGCATATAGTTTCAGAGATCCCTTGTGAAATAACTCTGGGACTAGAGGTGGAAAATCCATGGGGGGGAAAAAAACAGAAAGAATAAATTAAATTCTAGAGAATACACAAGAGAGATACTAATTGTTAACTTTGTCTTGAGGAATGTGACAGGTTGTATTTTTCAAAGATGGTCATAACAAATATCTCTTCTCTTATGTGCTCTTCTGAAATGTGACCTTGTCACTCCTTCATTAAAAGATGGATTTTGTTTCTTCAATCTCTTGAGAAGGGCTTGGGATAACTTTGACCAATAAAATGCAATAAAAGTAACATGTCTTGAACCATGTCTAATCATATATTCTTTCACTGGTCTGAAAGCTTCTGGTTTCTACATTTTGGAAGCCAGTTATCCCAGAAGAATAGTAGCTACCTGGAGGCTCTCATGTTTGAGAAACCCAAGCCACATGGACAGGCCACAGGTAGTTGTCCTAGTGAAGATTCTCAACTGAACTCACACCAACAGCTAGCACCAACTGACAGTCAGGGTAGTGCACCATCTTGGATCTCCAGC